TTGCCATTAATACACTGGCCTTTGCTGAGAATAAAATCATACCAGCAGGGAATATATGTACCTCAGCGTCCTCCTGGACTCAATACACTGCCACCATCCAAATGTAGACTAAACTTCATAATGGGATTATTATTCAGTGGGCTGCTCCCAACTGAGTGACATATTTTCACAACCATGAGTCTTGAGTACTGTTAATTTTTTCTTCAAAGGAAACAAATTTAATGCTTTCAATTTGGTTGAAAAGGGAAGCTGAAATGGAGGGAGCTTAGTGGCTAGTCCAGGTTACACTTCTGGGCTGCAGTGAAACCAATGTTTTGGACCTTCTGGTGGCTCACATCCTTTCTCAAACCACCTGCTCTGATCTTTAGTCCAGAAAATAATGCCATTGTACCTTTATCTGGCTTAGGTCAGTGAATCAGAACTCGCTCTAAAAGACAAGTATTTCTTGGCAAAATTTGAGAAAGAAGCAAACCCCACTGGGCTAATCTTGTAGGGTAATGGGCACTGATTCTGATTCTCAAATCCACTTCAGAGACCTACATGAGCCTGCTTGAGACTCATCAGAGCAGAGCAGGTATTTTGCAGTTCAATGAGAATCCAGCTTTTGTTCACTTTCCAATTGCATTGGTTCAGAGTAAGTAAGCACTGTTCAGTTGCCTGGCCTTCTAAACTGCCAGGAAATGTCAATGTTCCACAGCAGAAATGGCTCTCTGCAAAGTGTCTACATTCTCTCAGAGAGGACTCACTTCCAACCAGTATCATAAGGGCTAATCACTTAGGAAAGAGATCTGACCAAACTAGGCGGAGGCTTGCAGATGGTGGAACTTGACTTGGGCTTGAAGAGAGCTACTGAAGGTTTAAAGATCAGGACAGCAGACATTTGTGATTTGGAAGGATACTATTAGGCCATTTTGTTAAAAATTAATTGGGGGAAAATATCAGGAACAATAGTCAGACGAGTGACATCGTCTAGGTGAGAAAAGATGTTGCTCTTGTGCAGGGAGGCGAATGCAGAGATGGCAAGCTGGGAAAGGATGAACACAGGGAGAAGGCCATTTGGTAGGTGGGAGGCGCACTGCATAGCCGCTTGCTACTCTGCAAGATTCTGAAAGGCTCCTGGCCGTACCTGATGCTGGCAAGAGGGATATTGAGATGAAGTGGTCTCTTGTCACTTAAAGGGCATCGTTTCTTTTGAAAAGCTTAGCCTTTCTCTAAATCTTAAACCTACATTATTTTGGCTCCAGCAAATGCCTGGTGTGAGTCCTTCCATAGGGGATTGTTAATGTCGCTCAGGCACTCTGAATTATTGATGAGTTTCAGGGTTTGTAGAATTAATGAGCTTCTGCCATGGGAAAGGATAGGCATATTGCTCTAAGAAAGTCAGCCAGTCACCCTGGAGGAGGCTTTCTCCTGCTGGCTAATGGGGATGTGATGGGTGCCAGAAGCCAGATGTAGAGTCAGAGTGAACTTTATTCTACCCACAGGCTCTACCAGGCCCCTCTGAAACCACAGAGACAGCAAAGGTCTTTAGGATGGAAGCTGGTTCATCTGAAGAAACTGTCTGTGAATAAAGTGTCCCTGGGGTCCCATATTAAGAGCTTCCCTCCCCTGGGCACCTCTGAGCAGCACAGAGTGTGTATAGTAGACAGCCAGAGGGATTCAGAAGAACCCAAGAGAGGTGTTGTGGAAGAGACAGACTATAATAGCAATATGGGGGGAAATGAGAGCCAAGGTCAAGATGGAAAATGCTCTACAAAACTCATTCTCTTTAGTAAGGCGATTAATACACAGTGTGACTAAGAATTGAAACGTTTTCTAACTTACGTGTCAGTTATCATTGCCAGCAGTGTCTTGAGGCGTCTACCAGAATTACGGAGCCCACAGACCAAGTCCACCTCATCACACATTTTCGTATGTAAAGCTTTATTAGAACACACTCTGCTTATGACTCAGCAGCATGTACCTGCTTTGGCACTACAGTGCCATAACCCTGTGATCATAGCAAAGTCCTTAAAGCTCACAAGCTGAAACTCTTTATATTTTGAGCCTTTGCACAATACATTTTGTGGTGTTTGATCCAAATAGCTTCCTCCATTTTCTATTTGGCCTTTCTGTGAGTCCTACCTGTGGTCATGGCAGCAACCTAGGAAAGTATGAACCCTAACTTACATACTTCCCAATATAGAGAGAAGGTGACAGTAAGTGGAGAATTCAGCTACCACTTCCCAGGCTTGAGCATCACACACACCTTATCAATCACGCTGAGTTCCCTAATGCCACTGTGCTATAAGAAAGAATATAGAAGTTCTAAGAAGTTAATAACACGGCTGGATCCTGTGTCCACTGAGTCACAGAACTGGCCTTTGGTGCGGCTCCTAAGCTTGTACTCTCACAAATAAAGAGTCCTTTCTGCATCTTATGAGGCACTTTATCTTATGGGAAAATAAAAGAATCTCTTAATATTTTTAAAGCTTTTATATTCTTCTTCTAAGATTAACCATGAGTGGTTTAATTAAAGGCAGTCCCTGGCCAGATGAACAAAAATTTAATTGAGACTAATTGAAGGACAGGAGAGGCTCTGCCTGCTGAGACTACCCCAGTGACTGATCATGGTGGCTTACTAAGAACACAGAGCAGTCACCCTGTATGTCACCACTGCTCCTGGCAACCAGCATTACAGTTTTCTTCTTGATCACTTTTGAAGATGGCCATTCTGGTAGCCTCCCCCACATGCTCTATATGCACTACTAAACTTTCTGTGAGATCATCACTGAGTTCTGAGAACACAGGCGCCCAGTGTTTCTTCCCTTGAGAGGACAGGACTGTGGCTGTATTGATTTGTTGGCAGCTCCATTGACCAGCTCAAGTGGAAATAAGTATTTGTTTTCTGTTAGAATAAGAGTCAACTATCAAAAGCCCTTGAGCCATAATGGTCTTTAGTCTTTGTGTGCTGATTTTAATACATATTTTTTAAAGTCTTTGAAACATCAGTCTCAAGTTCTTATTAATCAGCTGCTCTGTGAGTGTCTATGTGTGCCAGGTCTGGCGGTAGGACAGCCACATTCATACTTGTTGTCTCTTTAAAGAAAACAATAATGAGTCAGAGATATGGGTAGCTCAGCTGACAGAGAGCTCACCTGGCACACATGAAGCTTGGGCCTCCATAACCACCACTACATAAAGCGGACATGCCGGCACACCCCTGTACTCCCAGCACTTGGGAGGTAGAATCAGGAAGATCAGAAGATCAAGGTCATCCCCAACTGCGTAGTGAGTATGAAGTCAATGTGAGCTATATGAGAACCTGTCTTAAAAACAAAAAAATTTGAAAGAATGAAAGGAAAGGAAAAACAACCCCCACAAGAGGTAACAGGTTCATTCTGCCTGGTTTCGTGGTATTTAGTTTACAGCCAAATTTATAGGTGTTTGCTGTTCACCAGCTTTCTAGCTGAAAAAAAAGTTGTTTCATATGCATGCCTTCCCTGGAGACTAGGCTGGAGCACAGAAGAGAAGAAAGCCAGGGGTGGTACAGTTTGGTAGCTGATGAACTCAGAAAAGAGGGTTGGCCATTAGGAAAGTAAGGGTTCGAGCGAAGGAACAGAAGGGAAAGGAGTTTGAATGAAAGAACAGAAGCTAAAGCGAGCTGTGAAGTGGAACATTTTCTTAAACGTAAATGTCTTCCCTTTTTAGTGAGTGTGTGTGCACATGTACGTGTGTGTGTGTGTGTGTGTGTGTGTGTGTGTGTGTGTGTGTATCAAAGCATGCAGGACTTGTACATACCATGAGACACAGGTGTGGGGGGCAGAAGACAATTTTTAAGAATCAGTTTTTTCTTTGTACCCTAGGTTCCTGAGATCAAACTCAGGTCATGAGTCTTGTACAACAATGATTTTTACCTTTGACCTTCTACATTTTACCTTTTTGTCACAAACTCTGCAGGCTTGAAAAGGTAGTAATCAAAACCCTGTGAGTCTACCTGACTAGTACTCAAACGTTGCCACCTTACCATGGGGTCAGAGTAGAAGTAATGCGGTCCAAGTAGTGTCCTAGTCTTCCTGATGAGGTCATCCGAGTCTTCTCAGACGATCATAGCCATGCGTAGTTCCCTCATCTAGGCACTTAGTTATCCTTTGGTAGGATGCCTGCCCCTCAAGAATACAACCAGGTATCGTTGATCTCTATGCCTATAGCTAGCCCAGAGAAGATGCTTAACACGTGACAGCTGGGTAGCAGTTTGCAAACAGGGCAGCCTGTGTGGACCTGCCTTTGTACTTGAGACCAGCAAGAGTTTGCCAATGTTGTGACAGTCCCCTGGGCTCCTCTGATATAGAGCCCCTTTCAAAGTATAATATAAACACAATGGTAATAAAAAGGTCCGAGCCCCTTTTCTTGGAGCAAAGATAGTTGTCTAGAAGAAATTAAGACCAAATAAGTGAAGAGCCTGAGGTTCACTAAAGTTGTTGACCTAGTTGCAAGAACTAAAAAAAGAAAAAGAAAAAAAGAAAAAGTATAACTCTAGCCCAAGTGTAATGGGCTTTAATCCTAGCACTTAAGAGGCAGAGGCTGGAGAATCTCTGTGAGTTGTGGGCTAAGAGACAAGGTGACCAAGCACAGGAGAATGAGCCAGTATCAAGGAGGGATGGAAGACCTCCCTGGTCAGATTCTGGCAGGTTTGATCCACTAACTGCAGCTCCAAAATACTGGTCACTTGTGAAATGGGGGAGGTGTTGATGGAGGTGATGGAGGTTCCAGACCTGCCTCAACTACTTCTGACCGTACTCTCAGTAAGTCAGTCTCCTTACTTCTCTGAGTCTCCGTTGCCTTCTCTACAAAGTAAAGATTCTTCTCTGTAAAGTGAAGGTTCTTCACGGTACCCGCCTCCCAGGCTGTTGAGACTGATGGATTAGAAAGCGTCATACAGACAAGCAGGGCCGGCGTGAGTGCAGAGGGCAGCAGTTTCTGTTGGGCACTGGTCCTTGACTCTCTGCTTTGTCTTACAGAGGGCTGTCCTGGCTTGTGCAATGGGAATGGCAGATGTACCCTGGACCTGAATGGGTGGCACTGTGTCTGCCAGCTGGGCTGGCGAGGAGCTGGCTGTGACACATCCATGGAAACGGCCTGTGGAGACAGCAAAGACAATGATGGAGGTAGGGCTCTGGCACCTGTGGACCCTGGGCAGTTCCAGGGATAGGACACAGAGAGAAAGGGGTGGACATTGCTGGGTTAGAAGGGCACCAACGTCCATGTCCAGAGTTTGAGGACCTTGGAGTACCGAAGACTGCATGGGTGGCCTAAGGAATGGGTGCTCTCACTAGTTGCTGGATTTTGATTCATTAAAATAAGTGAAAGTGATTGGCATCTATTGGCAATGGAGAGGAGGCACGGAGAAGTGTCCAGTTAACTCACTAGTGGAACGGTTACCTGCCCAGGGTTTGGGGAAGCAGCCCTCCTCTGTATCCCAGATGCTGTGCAGGTTGCTCCTCTAGGGGAGAAGGTTCACTTACTTTATTAAGATCTCTCCTTTGATTCTGAAGGTGACTTTTCCAAGGACACCAAAGGACACTTTACCCTCACACTCACTCTCGTCCCTATAGGTTTATAATACAACCTGCCTTTGCTTTGCTTTTTTTTTTTCAAGTGTTGGGCAGTCAAAGCCCAAGGAAAGAGGGGTTAATCTTGTGGAACATTTGTTAACTCAGGGTGAAACCCATGTTAATTCCAACTCTGGCTATAACTCCCCATGCCTCCATAGGCCAGGTACTAGGTATCTCTGAGCCTTATTCTCCTCAATTATAAAATGAGGCAGTTTGTGCGTGAAGGTTATTCAAGTCTTTATATCAGGCATACAATTAGCTTTGAATTCTCTACTGTGTAAACTTGCATAGCGACAATCAAAATAAACTCCACGTTCCCACCTAGAAGACTCTGTTTCTACCAACCTCAGGGAGTTACTGGAAAATAAAGAAGACAGATATGAAAACGAAAAAGCTTTCCTTTCTAATGCTAGCAGCTGACACATTTAAGCAGTTCTTTTTGATTCAAACCCAGAGACTACCTAATGTAGTACACAATGTTGGAAATTGGTAAACTAGAAACTCAGCATCCTACTTTTTGGAAATTGTCTACCTAGAATGAGGTTCCTACAGTCTCAAACCTCATAAGGGTCTAAAGGCTAAGTGCATAATTGTGGTCGCTTGGCTGCATTGGTTCTAGAATCTCAAAACAGCTGCTTTACAGCATTGATGGTTATCTGAGCTACCGTACAGTCTTTCTGTCCACTGCCCAAACCCAGAAGGCTGCCACACAGATAACCCCAGACTAGGACTAAGAATAATCATGAACAACGCGCCCGTGTGGTTGGGCCCTGATCTCTAAGCAGAGGGGTGTGTCCTCCGGAAATCCCACAGTGTTGGCGTGTTCCTTAATCAAACTGAAACTTGGCATCTTTCATCTGCCCAAATATGACTAGTCTCTTGTGGAAGGAAGACCATGTCTTACACCAGGCTCAGAAGCTCACCGAGGAGAAAGTCCCAAGGCTGAGCGTTAATGGATTATGCTAAGTGCTATGGCAGGGTTGTGTGTTAGTTGTGGGAGTAGGAAAACATTTATCAGGAAGAGGATGCTGGGGCAGGAAAGAATTTTACTGAAGGAAGGGGTGTTTTGTTCTCAAGAGATCTCACAGAAAAGGGCAGGGGAAGAAAGTAAGGGTATGGAGCATCCTTGTCTTCAGGTGAGAGGGAGCAATCAGGCTCTGTCTGCAGGAAAGAGGTCAGGCTCCCTTGTCTATGTGATACCCTTAGCATCCTGCTCTGTTTTGTCTATACGGACACAAGGCCAGTGATAAACAGTAACACTCACAAAAAGAAAAAAGGAGAAAACCTCCACCAGGAAATCACTCCCTTCCCCAGAGTCCAGGGTCTTGGCCCAGCTTTCAAACAGCTGTGGAACATCTGGGCAGCTAAGTAACTAAATGTTTTTGCGATGTTGAGAGAACACATAGTCCCCCACATGCACATATGCAAGAGCAGGCTACAAACCAGGGCTTGCTTGTTCCTCTCCATAAAACAGAGCACCAGACTGTACACCCTGGTTGCCATGCTTCGAAGACAGCCAGCACTGAAAAACCACAGTTTTCCCAGAGAACTTGGACCCACAGTAGCCCAAGCTCCAATATTATAGGAAATGATCTAGACCCCAGGGAAAGGAGCCTTCTCCAGCTGCTCTGAGAAACGAGCCAGCAGAGAGCACAAAAGAACAACCAGAAAATCCCCAATTGCAGGAGAACATGTACAGTTTTTGAGGCATATTATAGTCTGAAATGAGTTTGTACGTACTTTGTGGCAAAGCCATACAAAGCTGTGCTGTGAGTTTGTTCATTTGCTCCACAAATGTTCACCAAGCATCTGCACTGCATCAGGCCCTGGCTCCCAGGGCTTTAGAATAAATCTAACACTCTCTGCCCTTGCATAATCTAGAAAGAGAGGAAATGGGAGGTGTCTGTGATACTGTGGGCTCCTGCTGTTGCAGAAGAGCATCCAGACATTCAGCTGATATTGTCAAATGCCCAAAGGGAACTTAGATGCAGTGCCAGGAAGAATCCCCCCCCACCATAGGTCATCAGGACTGGAGATACAGCCATGTCGGGAAGACACATCTTTGGCATTTGGTTCTCAACTGTGAAGAGAGGTCTTACCTTACTTTGGAAGCCTCAAAGTTTATAAGTTCAGTGGGTTTTCTATCCATTGGGAAAGTCCAGAAGGTTCAGAGCATCCCTACTTTGCAAGGTAGCATGGATAAAATAAACTACAGGACTAGAAGGGACTAGACCAAGATTATCTTCACTGGCCTTTTAATCTCTTGGCCTTGCCAAAGCAGAGACAATTAGACTGGAAGAAATTGTTATCCAAATGACTAAGTCTAATGGAAGCAAAATGAAATAGTCACCTTCATGTCAGCTGAGGCAGGGAACACAGCATAATGCCAGAAAGTAGTTCAGGGTAGAGGGAAAGGGGCAAGAGGCCCACTGAGTGCTTGAAATGGCTCAGGGGCTTGAAGGAGAAATTAGCAGAGCTCAATGCTGAGTCTAGACTAGAGGGAACTTTATCTCTTTCCTTCTCCTCCTCTGCATGGCATAGACAAGGAGTTGGGAACCCAGACATGTGACCTCATTTATTTCATTAAAGCCAACATAGAGTCGCATGGCCCAGACTAGGACTCCAGGTTCCAGCCAAGCTGCTACATGGGGGCTTATACATCTAGAGTGCTTCTTCCTCACATACAGACTTCTTCTCTTCCAAAAATGTGGGGATTGTTTACCAAGAACTGAAGAGGCTTTGAAAAAATGTCACAGAGGCTTCTAGAGCATAGGACTCCAGTATCATTTGACAGCTTGTAGCTCAATGGTGGATTCATGGGGTGACACTGCTAGAAACATGGTATTGATATCCCTCACCATCTCCTGGGAGAAGGACACAAGAGCTTAGCTGCTATTCTACCCAGACATGCCACTGGCTAAAACAGTCTGCTAGTGTCTCTGAGGCCTGGTCTGGCTGTATTAGAGCCTTTTCCTGTACCAGACCTCAGACCTGGCTCCCTTGTCAATCACCAAGGTTCTTCAAGCTACCTGAGAACCTCCCATTTCCTCCTCCCCCAACCCCTCACCCAACTTTCTAGGCTTAAAGCAATATTTTTCAGATTCAACTCAAATTCCAAGGTTCGAATGCTATTCCAAGCCGGACAATGGTGGTGCACGCCTTTAATCCCAGCACTTGGGAGGCAGAGGCAGGCAGATTTCTGAGTTTGAGGCCAGCCTGGTTACCCATATGGTTGAATTGGGAGCAGTTCTACTGGTTTGTTTTGTCTTCATGTGTGGTTGATTGTTCTCTGAATTGAAAAGCAGAAAGCACCCTGAATGTGACTAGGAAACAGCTGGTCTCCTGAGCCTCTGTGGGGTTGCTCAGTGCCTCTCAAATGCCTCAGATTTCCTGGGTGCTGGGAGGACCCTGACACTACCTCGGTACCAGTTTCTCTGGGGTCTCAGTTGCAGACGATAGCCACCTTCTTCATCTCTTACCCTATGCAAATCCCTGCATGAAATGCTATCACAGGCATCTTCTCAAATGACATACAGTGAGCATACATGAGAACTCATCCCACCTCACCCCAGCCCAGCTTCAAAGACAGTGAAACAGTAACCCTCCATGCAGACTGCCTGTCAACCACGGCAATGAAGCCTCCCTTGCAGGGTGACAGTAAGAACTACTTTAAAGTGTCTATGATTAGGCACTGTAACTCAAAGATGAAAATCCCATCCCCTGGATTCAGATCCCGGGCTCCTCTTTCTGACTGTGTGACCTGGGGTGAGTTACTCAGCTTGTCATTTGTATCAGCACTCTTCCTGATCCTTTCTCCCCAAAATCACAGGGCACTGTGTTTATCATAACACATATATTTATGTATAACTATTTTTCCTTGAAATTGTGCCCTCCTTCTTTCACACAGCAGTACCTATTCTTTCCGTTACTGATGGATTTTTGACTATTATTATTTTCTTTATTAAAATCTGTCTTCTAAGCTGGGTAAGGTGATCCACACCAATAATTGGGAGACTGGGGCAAGAGATGATAAGTTCAAGGGTAACCTGGGCTACCGAGTAGGACCTGGCCTTGAGAAAGAAATGTATCCTAAACAGTTACATATTTGCAGACTAGAAGTCTACGTCTGCATCACTTCACTCCCCCCCAACACACTTGAAGGCAGAAACATTTACATACAAGGACACCGAATCCAGGAGAACTGAAGTAAGATATGAAGCCTCACACAGTGCATCAGCAGGAGAGCTAGACTAGACAGGAGCTATAAAGTCTGTAAAGAAGATGCCAGAATAAAAACTCCACTGGAATTTAAACAGTCAGATCCTTTTTTGATAAAGCTTCTCTGAGCAGCTTCAGTGTATAATAATCCCTTCTGAGGCTCTGGCACCTTGAAAGACAATCATGGGTGGGACGCCCAAACTGACAGGTGCAGCCCAGGAGAAATTTCAAGAAAAGTGAGAACAAAGCTCCCTGTCCTTCCTTCTCTCCCTACCCCCCATCTCCCACTGTGAGGATGGAGCGTTCACACAAAGCCCTACAATCTGGTCACCCTC